GCTCTCGGCGCACAGGCTTCAGTAGTTGTGGCTCGTGGGCTCAGTAGTTGTGGCACGTGGGCTCAGTAGCTGTGGCTCACGGGCTTAGTTGCTCTGCGGCATGCGGGATCTTCCTGGACCAGGGCTCGAACCCGTGTCCACTGCATTGGCAGGTGGATTCTTAACCACTTCGCCACCAGGGAAACCCGGGTGTTATCTTAATATCCTTCAGATTCCTTCCCTGCCACCTGCTTACTCTCCCTGCCCACCCCCCACCCTCCAACTATGTTTGTGGTTTGCTAGTGCTTAGCCAGTCAGCAGGTTTTCAGTTGACTTAGTAGTGGCTTTAATTATCCTTTTGAAAAGCTGATTAGTCTGGTTTTAAACACATCTACTGAAAGAAAGATTTCTTACTGATAGCTTGAGTGGAAGCTTCAAGGGCATTTAGGAGTCAACTGAGTATGTGCTTTTACAGAGGAGAATCATGAATTCAGAAAAATGTGGTGGCCTTAGTCGTCTCCAGGCCAGCCTCTTCATTTTACATATAGAGAAGAGTGAGAGAGGAAAAAGTCCCACAATAAGAAATTTGCAGATCTGGGAATCAGATCTCCTGACTCTTAATTCAGTCAGGTGTCTTTTCACTGCATTGTGGAAGGAGTGTAACCTAGAGGTTAATATTTTGGGCCCTGAAGTTGGGCTCCTCGATGTTGAATCTTGGCTCTTAGCCACATAATTGCCTGTTGACTTTTGGGAAAGGTATCAAGCCTCAGTTTACCCATCTATAAAATGGGACAAGGAAGCCAAGTGGAAAAATACATTATCATTTTCAGGGAACAAAAAAAAGGGCGTATATTGATATTTCCTATTTGTAAAAGAGCTGCCTGATGTGTAGGCAGTCATGTCCAAGGGGTGAAGCAAGGGTCTTCTAAAGAAAAGGTCTTTTGGCCAAAGATGTCGATATCCTCACTCTGGCCTACCACCCTGCCTGCTTTATCTTCGGGATGAAGGACCCCAAGACCTCTTAAAATAGATGAATTACCAAGATGGGGTCTCACATTAGATCATGATGTTCATTAAGACCGTGGTTTGAATGACATCCTCTGGTTTATCCTGAGCTGATAGTGAGGCCAGGAGGGTGACATGAGGTCCTGCTTGGAAGGGTACCCATGGGTCCATTTGGTAAAAGCACTTATTGAGGGTACCTCAGAGATTCCATTTTCTTTTTTCTTTTTTTTAAATATATATATATATATATATATATATATTTATTTTATTTATTTACTTTTGGCTGCATTGGGTCTTCATTTCTGCGTGTGGGCGTTCTCTAGTTGCGGTGAGCGGGGGCTACTCTTCCCTGTGGTGCGTGGGCTTCTCATTGTGGTGGCTTCTCTTGTTGCAGAGCACAGGCTCTAGGCGTGCAGGCTTCAGTAGTTGTGGCATGCGGGCTCAGTAGTTGTGGTTCGTGGGCTCTAGAGCGCAGGCTCAGTAGTTGTGGTGCACGGGCTTAGTTGCTCCGCGGCATGTGAGGTCTTCCCGGATCAGGGCTCGAACCCGTGTCCCCTGCATTGGCAGGCAGATTCTTAACCACTGTGCCACCAGGGAAGCCCCTCCATTTTCAACATGGAACAGATCTTCTAAATCTCTGTCCTCTGGCCAGCTGGGGCAATTGAAGGTAGCAGAGGTGACCCTCAACCTCTGGCAAGTTCACATCCCCTCTTTGGGCCTTTTATCCCTTCTCTGGCTCCTTGATCCTTAAAAAGAGGAGGACTTGGCTAGAAGCCTAGCAATCGTTAAGCTCTCAGGGTTTCTGTATTCCCTTCTTGAAAGAGAACCCTCACTGTCCAACATACTAGTCTGTTACAAATGGGGAAAGCAAACGTGTGCTGCTCTTCACACTTTTGTCTTTTGCATCCAGTAAAAGGGATAAATGCTGCTTTTTCGTGTGTGTGTGTGTGGGGTAGGGGGAATGGTGAGTTGTCTTAAAGGCAAGATTGGAGGTTCAGAAGAAGCAGCAGCTAGGGGAGCTTCAGAATTCTGTTCTGCCTCTGCAGACCAGAGAACTCCAAGGTGACTTTTTTTTTTTTAAAAAATAATTAATTAAGTTTTGGCTGCGTTGGGTCTTCATTGCTGCGTGTGGGCTTTCTCTTACGGCGAGTGGGGGGCTACACTTCGTTGCAGTGCGCGGGCTCCTCATTGCAGTGGCTTCTCTTGTCGCGGAGCACAGGCTCTAGGCGTGTGGGCTTCAGTAGTTGTGGCACATGTGCGGGCTCAGTAGTTGTGGCTCGTGGGCTCTAGAGCACAGGCTCAGTAGTTGTGGCACACGGGCTTAGTTGCTCCGTGGCATGTGGGATCTTCCGGGACCAGGGCTCGAACCCGTGTCCCCTGCATTAGCAGGTGGATTCTTTTTTTTTTTTTTCGATACGCGGGCCTCTCACCGCTGTGGCCTCTCCCGTTGAGGAGCACAGGCTCCGGACATGCAGGCCCAGCGGCCATGGCTCACGGGCCCAGCCACTCCGCGGCACATGGGATCCTCCCGGACCAGGGCACGAACCTGCGCCCCCTGCACTGGCAGGCGGACTCTCAACCACTGGGCCACCAGGGAAGCCCCTAGCAGGTGGATTCTTAACATGTGCCACCAGGGAAGTCCCCGAGAGGTGACTTCTTACTAGTATAGCCCCATCCTTCACCCCCAGGCTGCCCTTTTGCAAACAGGCTGATATGAATTTCATAGTCAAACAGATCTATGCTGGCTCACCTGCCGTATGGCCTGATATTTTAAAATTTTACCCTTTTGGGTTAATCTTCTCATTTTTAAATGTGCAAGCAGAGCTGGAAGGGACTGCCAGTTCATCTCTAGCTGATGAGATGGTTGAAGAGACCTCCTTGGGGGGTGTCAGGAGACTCCAATTCCAATCTCTGCTCTAACTCCAAATTACTGGGTGACCCTGCGCACAGCCACTTATCTCTCATCTCAGTTTTGTCATCAGCATCTTAAGGAATATCTCCCACCTCAACCTGTGGGAACATATGAGAGCTGGGGTAGGAAGGGCTCAAGACACGGAAGAAAGAACACTTTTCCTCAAAGTTCAGTCAAGTGTCTGTCAGGCAGCCTCCCTTTGCTGCACTGGAGTCTGAGAACAGGCTCTGAGGATACTGTGCCTCCCAGGTGGTCTGGGGCTTTGTTGTGCCTGAGCTTACCTTCCTCCAGCCCTGATCGGTGAGGGGCTGGCTCCTCGATAGCCTGGGAGTCAGGGGAGAGATGGTGGCTGTTTAAATTTGGGGTCAGAGGAGGGGCGTAGGGGCGGTGATGTGCATGGTATTGGAGCTGGGCTTGGTGTTTTATTTACACAGCAAGTAGCCATGTTTCCGGAGGGGTGTGGAGGTATTGACAGAGATTATAGGAGAGTGAATTTCCTATTCGTCCACCCCTTTGCACCTGGAGCCAGCTGACAGTGTGTGAGGGAGAGGCGTCCTGGCTCCAGCTCCCTCCTGACAGCTGGAAATGCCGGCTGCCCTGTCCCCTCCTGAGGTGTTTGTAATTCCTTAATACCTGCTGATCTCAGAAAGGCAACGTGGCGCCTCCCCGGGTGCGTTATCTTCCCAAATAGGGTTGCTGCCCTCCTGCCTTCTCTACTCTCTCTGAAACCAGCCCCATCTATGATTTTCTTCAACAGCAAGAGTCACCATATTGCTGAGCTCTGACATGGGCAGGGCACTGGGAACACATCAGAGAACAAGACCACTCGCTCCCTCCCTTATGGGATCGTTCGTGTGTGTGTGTGGTGTGCGCATGCGCACGCACAAGACTCAAAACAACTGTGCGAACAGTACATTGGTTTACCAGAGGTCCTTCCCCCACTGTAACCAGCCTCCCCAAAAGAGCTTTTAGAATCACAGAATATTAGAACCAGTTCCCACCCTGAGTGTTTGGGGAATCTGAGTGAACCTCAGTTTGAGGTTGAAACCCCGGGGAAGGGATTTGTCCAGAGTCAGAGCAGAAACTGTGGGCGGGGCCAGAGTTGAAACTTGGCCTCCAACTCCTGGCTCGGCTTCCGCTGCGCCTTGTTATTCCTGCTCCATCTGCAGGAGGAATCCTCAGGTGTGGCAGCTCCTCCGCCGATGCTAGATGCTAGGTGGCACCAGCACACCTTGGAACAAAAAGGCTCCCAATCTGGCTCCCATCTGAAAATGCCCGAATCCTCACTGCTGGCAGCCTGAAGTCCAGGCTGGGTGCTGTCTTCTCCTAGTGCCCTCACAAGGCCTGCCTGCTCGGGGGGCTGCCCCTGATCACAGTCCCACTTCCTTCATCCCTTCCTGGGTCCCAGGTGCCTTGGGGACCTGTTTGCTGGTTACCTGGAAGAATTCACTCCTATGTGATTGATTTCTTCTGGGGGCTCTCTGTGCAGAATGGAGAGTTCTGGCTGGGTGATCAGCTCAGGGAAGCTATTTTAGGGCCATGCAGGCACAAATTCCCCTTAGGTGCTGGTATCTTTCTTACTTACTGAAGCTTCTGTCTGGGTGAACAACCCAGCTGAACACGGTGTGGTCTCTCCCCAGGTCACATTGCCAGTCTGTGACAGAGGGGGGATGGAGTCCAGGCTTGCTAAGGACCGCACTACTTTGTCTCTCAAGAGAATGTCCAGAAGACAAGACCCTCTGTCACTCGGTCCCTACCTACCCTTCCAGTGCCATCTCACAGTTGTGGAGCTCTGTGGCTAAGAGTATGGGCTGTGGTTTCAGACTCCTGGGATTGGAATGGCGTCTCCCCAGTTGTTAATTGTGTTACTGTGCCATGTTTATGGAACATTTCTCTGCCTCAGTTTCTCCCTCTGTGAATGGGATGGGGTCGTTACACAGGATCTCAAATTTCTTTGCAACTTCCCCCACTAAAGGTGGAGTATACTTTCCCACCCCCCTGAAACTGAGCTGGCCTTGTGACTTGCTTCCATAGGAATGGGTGGCAATAATGTGTGAGCTCTGAGCCTAGGTGTCAAGAGGCTTTGCAACTTCTGTTCTTTCAGGACATTGCTGCCATGTGACAAGCCCCGCTGATGCCATTGAGGATGTGAGGCCACGTGGAAGGAGATCCCAACCATCCAGCCCAAATTGCCCACTCACAGCATTGTGAGTACATGAATTATTTTGGGGGTGGTTTGTTATGTTGCTGAAGCTGACTGAAATAGGGGAGAATAATAGTACAGTAGTCTCTCCTTATCCGTGATTTTGCTTTCTACAGTTTCAGTTACCTGTGGTCAACCATGGCCCCAAAATACCAAATGGAAAATTCTAGAAAGAATTTGTAAGTTTTAAATTGCATGATTTTGTGCGTAGTTTGATGAAATCTTGTGCCTTCCCACCTGGGACATGAATCATCCCTTTCTCCAGCATATCCGAGCAGTATATGTGACCCCCATTACTCACTTAGTAGTGCTCTAGTCTCAGTTATCAGATCGATGGTCCTGGTATTGCAGTCCTGGGGCAGGTAGGGACCAAGTGACAGAGCGTCTTGTCTTCTGTCCAAGTCACTCTTACTTCACTTAATAATGGCCCCCAAACACAACAGTAGTGATGCCAGCAATTTGCATATTCTCTTACTGTGCCTAATTTATAAATTTTATCATAGGTATGTATGTATAGGAAAAAACATAGTGTATATAGGGTTTGGTACTATCTGTGGTTTCAGGTATTTACTGGGGGTCTTGGTGCATAATCTCCTAGAATAAGGGGGACTGCTGTACCTACCTTGAAAGGTGGCGGTGAGGTTTACATAACAATGGGAACTTAGATCAGCGCCTAGCACACGTGAAGCAAATACAGTCGTTACTACTAACATCATCATGGGGCACTTCCTCTTGCTTATTGCATTCTAGTTCCACCGACCTCCTTTCTTCTTATTCTTCTTTCTTCCTTGTTCCTTCTTTCCTCCTCCTTCTTCTCCCCCTCTGTCGTCGTCTTCTTTTAAATATACCAAACTCTTCCTTTTTCAGGGCTTTCATACTTAATTCTCTCCGTTTGAAATTGTCCTTCCCTGCTGTCTTGTTTTCATGGTTGCAGTCTCAGCTGAAACTTCTCCTTGGAGAGGTCTTCTCTGAATCTCCCTCCTCCCTTCCTCTCCATTTTTGCTTCCTTTCATTGTGTCTGATCATCACATTTATTGATTTCCTTGAATGTTGTCTGTCTCCCCTTCTAGATTTCAAGTCCCTTGAAGGCAGGAGCTGGGCTTTTATCCTTGCTGCCCACCACGGTGCCGTGCACAGCAGGCACTCACTTGGTATTTGCTGAATGAGTGGATGAAAAGAGGCATCTAGTCAATATGAGTTTGAGGTTGGTGTCTGGTTTCCAAGAACAGGGGAGTATCCAGGTTGGAGTTTCAGAGAGAGGAGACCATGTGTGCTGCTTCTCATTCTTACAGCCGTTTAGGTTTTTGTCACACTCTTTGTTGGATCAATTATGTTCCTGATATCCTATGCCCAACAAGGCTATGGGCTTCTTTAGAAAGAGATTGAGTCCCTCACAGCCCCAAGCACATTGTCAGGCACCTAGTAGAGGCTTAACAGAAGTTTATTGGATAGATAAATGGATGGACGGGTGGATGAATAGATGAATAAATGAGTGAATGTAAAGAAGGATGGATGGACAGTAGTACTCAGACTGCAGGCAACAATGGAAAACCGTGTTTATTTTTTCCTTCTAATAAAGGACAGTACATTTCCAGTCAATCTGTAAAACGTCATGAACATATAAAAATGTATTAAGTACAGTCATTAGCATTACATTGCAGAGAAATAGTTGTTATAACCTTTTCCCCTAAGATGGTACTTGGATGGTCACTGTTGGTTTGCTTTAACAAAAGAGGGCAAGAGTAGGTGACCAGTTGGCCTGGTTGGCCCAGGACTAAGGAGTTTCCCAGGATGTGGGGCTTTCAGTGCTAAAACTGGGAAAAGCCCAGGCAAACTGGGATGGTTGGTCATGCAAGAAAGAGAGCAGCACGAGAATGTTGGGTGTGCTTTGGTGTTTAGGTACACGGGGCCGATATTTTCTCAACTTCCCGTGACCTCGCTTCCTCTTAGCTCTGGAATAAAAATCCCTGTGTTATTATCAAGGGTGTTGCAGCTTTCAAAGGGTTTTAACAGCCCCGTGTAATTTTGACTTGATCTTTATGCCAAGCCTGGGAGGTAGGGCAGTTCTAACCTAATTTGCAGGTGAAGCATGCTACATCAGTGCTCCTAGCTCCTAGAGAATACGGGGCAGAGAAAAGACTGCCACCCCCATCTCCTGAGGCCAGTGTTCTTCCCACTACTCTATTCTCTTCTGAAACATCCTACCTGTCTCATCTGGCTTTCAGGAGTGAGCAGGAATCATACGGGGGAAAGGAAGGACCCTGAGATCCAAGCTTTGGCTCAATCCCCTCATTTGGGACAATTTTATATGATTACTACTTTGCCTGATGTGTTTACCTGCTCCTCCTCTAGCAATCCTCATGAAGGATTCCCCTGAAGACCCACCAGCTGGTCAGTGCTGGCATCATTATGTGGCAAAGTCAGTGAAAGAGATCCAGTATATTTGGGCCATGTCCCAAATGGCCCTTCCAGTTAAGGTTTGCCAGCAGGATGGTCAGAGGACCAGCTCAGTCTGCCATGTGCCAGCTTGATTGTTGAGCTCTTTTTGGGTACTTCTGCTGAGAAATTACTCAAGTGATAAGTCAATTCATGGGGTGGCTGTAACTTGCCACACTTGTTCCCACCCTTGTACTTTTTGCCTGACATAAATGGGCACCACCTTAAGGCGGGAGGGTTCAGTAGTCCTCCCTGGCTCACCTTAAAAGACTAGGGACAGGCTATCCTTGCCCATGGTAGACCTCACTTCTCTTGACAGTGTATTAGAATCCTATCATCCATTCTTTTATTCCAACACTGTTTTGAGCTCGTTTGCATTTTTGGCATTTATGACCTCTAGGGATAAGAAGTCTATGTAATCCTTCTTTTCCCTGTGAAGTGAGACTTCCTCTGGCTCTCCCTAATTCAACTGAAGCCTGTGATATTCTGGGATAAGCTTAATAAATGGGGTTTGACACTGGTCCTACTCTTTCAGATGTTGTTGTTTGGGCTCAGAGTTGCTCCGTCGTGCGGGTCGTCTGTTTTGGGTGCAGCTGTGTAAAGGTCTGATCTTAGAGCTTTCCTTTTCTGAGAGTTGAATGAGGAATGGGTACAGGCTTCCCCTGCTATCTGAAAGTAGAGCGTTAGTATGAAAATTTTCGTAAGCTGAAATGGTGTAAACAAAGAAGCAATTACCTTAGGACACATCTTGCTAATGGATGCACAAAATGGATAGATCCAGATAAAGCACAGCTGCTTAGACACAGTTCAAAGCTATGGCGGTTTGATTCTGAGATGCTGAGTGGAGTTCCTGGGGAAGGAGTTGGGTGGTGCCACTCAGTGCTCAGTGCTCTATAACCGCTGGCTGCAAAATAAATGCTGAATGCTATTTTCACTTTTCACCTTTTTTGGAGGGTAAAAGCAGAAAGAAATGCAACTCTTTGGATTTCTTTCGGTTAGCAACAACAGGTACCAATGTAGGTCTTTGGTAGAAGTGAAATGGCTTAAGTCAAACTTGAAAAGTGGGGCATATTTGTACTTTTATTTAAAAATAAATAAAGTAAATATCTTTAAAAGAAGAGTGTTGCCCATGCCCTCTTGGTAGATTCCCCAGACTGTGGGACATGTAGCCTATTAGCTGAAGCGTGGAGTTTCTGCTTCACGTGCTTATGTCCATTCATTTTCACATGCTTATGTTCTTTCTGCCTCTTAAACTAGCTGCGGCCTTATGACCCTCAGAAGTGTCTGTGGCTCTGAGTTCAAATTTGATTTTAGGGCTTCCCTGGTGGCGCAGTGGTTGAGAGTCCGCCTGCCGATGCAGGGGACACGTGTTCGTGCCCCAGTCCGGGAAGATCCCACATGCCGCGGAGCGGCTGGGCCCGTGAGCCATGGCTGCTGAGAGCCTGCGCGTCCGGAGCCTGTGCTCCGCAACGGGAGAGGCCACAACGGTGAGAGGCCCGCGTACCGCCAAAAAAAAAACCCAAAACACACACACACACAAATCTGATTTTAATCTTTAGGTGTGATTTTCTTTGGTTTAGAGCAGACCCAACTCTGGAAGGGATGTTAACCCCGATATGACCATCCCTGCAATACATTTGAGATGAGGCACTTGTGTGTATGAGACTCTTCTGAAACTTGAACTCTTGCCACCGAGGGGTGAGGTGATGGTTTGACAAGCCCAGAAACTTCCAGATCTTGAGATATTGGCTGGCTCGCTACACACTTCTTGGCATCTGGGAAACTGATGGCCCAGTTGCATTGGGTTGTAGGCTGTACTTATCTAGAGGGTCAAAGAATGTCTCTGGGTTAAAAAATGAAAAACGTTCAATGCAATAGAAATATAGCCTCCTTATAGAAAACCTTTTGCAAGAAGTGCTGCCTGGCAGCAGGAGAAAACTAGAGGTCGACTGGTTTCCAGTCCTTTTTTGTCAGACCCCTTGGGGCCAGCACTTCCTCTAAGGAAGTCAAGCCTGGTGGGGAGAAGAGGATAAGACGGGCACATTCTTCCCTTCATGAAGAGGAAGAGTCGTGGTTAATTAAGCCAGCGATTAGGCGGCCTCCTCTGAGTTTGTGCAGATCTCTGCAGGCCCCTCATATGGTCACTGAACTCTGGGATCGGCGATGGCTGCCCCGGCTGAAGGGCCGGTTCGACTTAGTCTGTCCACTTGAGTAGGCTCCGGACGCCATCATCCTACTAGGCTCCAGGAGAAGGTGCTCCCCAGATGAGAATTTAGCCCAGGAGTCCCGTGAGCATGGGTCATCCCTTATGTGGTCTCCACTGGATCTCTCTCCGGGCAGCACCCAGTCCTCTTTGTACTTGCACTCCACAGGGCTCGAGCTCTTTGGGGTGCTGGCTCTGAAGCTCGGTTCTGGGGCAGGTGGCCCTGGACGGTGGGTGGGCTGGGCCTCTCCAGGGACAGTGGCAGGCCTCTGTCGGCTTCTCCAACTCCGGATTTCCAGCTCTCTTTTGTCCATGGGGAGTTTGTCAATTTTCTGAGCTTTTAAGATCAGAGACTTCCCATATGT